TTTAGTTGGTCATACCTGAACCTCTTGCAGCTACTAGACTCTTGAACGTACGGAAGTTATAACCATTCCTCTCCCTCACTATTCTCATCCTCGTTCAGCATTCCAGATCTTTTGGCCTGCTTCATGTTGCAGCTCTTCTGTACGGTGCTGGTTTCACTGCCCTCAGTCAACCTCAAACGCTTTGTTTCATCGCATTTTCCTCTTTTTGGTATAGGTCCATTCCTACCTCCCAATTTTCTTTTAGCCCTTTCCAGTCCGTCTGACAGACTGCAAGGATTAACCTGTCAAAAGACAGGTTTTCCTAGAAAGCCTCCACGGATACTGTTTACCAACCAGTGTCCCTTTGCTCTTTCACACAACTCCTAGGCAGGATCCTGAAAATAACCAGATGGCATTTGAAGGAGACAGAAAAATTAAAGAACATCCAGAATTATCAGCCGTGCTAAAGCATGCGTTGTGTACCATACCCGGAAAAAAAAAAAAAAAAGTATATATACAAGCACTTTGCTCACTGTTTTTACCTATTATTTGACTTCAAGCCAACCTTTCCCTATGAACCACAAAGATTTAGTGGTAGCTTGCTGAGTTTTGTATGGCAGCTGGCCAGGTTTTAATTGTGTGCAAGCTCATGTTAGTCCCGTCAAGGAGATCACTTGGCACAACAGACGTGGCTACCAAAAGAACACTGATACAGCGGTGGGAGAGATCGATCCTATGTGTCTTTCACTGTGGCCCATGTGATGCAGTTTACAGTTACCAGTGGATTAATTGCACCACGGGCTATAGTAATTTTATCTACTTTGTTTTCAACTTTATGAATGTATCATTTGTGGCCAGTAGCCAGTAAAAATCTGGAGAGGCAGAACTGGAGAACCAGTACAGCACTATCTATGCAAGTGAAGAGAACTGGAAAATATGCTCCAGCTGCACAGTTAATCAGAGAAGTCTTGACACAGCAAAAAGGTCTTTCTGGACGAAAGGACCACACTCTCTCTTCGTAACAGTAACCAGAAAACAAGCCAGGATAAACAACTCTTGATGTTACTTTTGACCCCCAAATAAATAACTTCCAAATCTTAGAACACATCTGCCAGTGAAAAGCTGGGTACACAGTCCTGTTCGTGGTCTCCGTGGGAAGTTAAGTATGCAAAAGTGTTACAGAACCATTTAGTTTATCTATAGCTGGATGCAGACCACCCACCCTTCCTTCCCAGGAAGTGCAGCTCCAAAGCATTATGATCCTTTCAGAAACTTCGTTGCTACAAGCAAGAGAGAAAAAGTTTAAGTCACAGAGGTAAAGTTTACCTGATAAAAAAATGAAGAAAAATAAAAATGTGGATCTAACGTTTGCACAGCCACTGTACTGTCCTCAGAAGCAAGGCACGTGATCAGCAACTTTCCCATAATTGCACAGGTATTACAAATCTTCGTTTGCCATTCAAGCGCCCATCTCCACTGTACTAAAAAATTAAATGGAAGTTTTAGAGTAGCTTTGTAATTACACTGCTCCAAGGACAGCGGCAAAGCTCTTTCTACAGTGGAAAAGATGAGGCAGAGTGTAAGGTATTTTCCATAAACGTAAAGCAAACTACTAACCTTGCCTCCCTGGTTTAGTGCTGCCAGCAGTGCAGAGAGTGTCAGCTCAGTACAGCTACAATCCCTTACTTAGTCTACTTTTAGGGCACTCAGTGATGTCCTACAATTTTATTAAGTGATTGAGAGACTCAGGTAATAATGAAAATTACAGCTATGCTACTTAAAACATGTCATCCCATGCAGCCCAACCTGTAGCGATACTCAGGACATCTTTGCTTTTAACTTAGTATGCAGGTACAGAACTGGCCAGATATATTCTTGCCAGCAACTCACAAGGAAATAAATAAAACCAACCAACCAACCAACCCACCCATCCAAAAAAAACCCCACCCAACCAGCAACAGCATTAAGTGATCACTGCTGAAAAATGACATGAGCAAAGTAATCCCGACACATTAAAATCTGCTTTTGGACAGCAGAATGTCAGCTCAGCCAAGAGGTTTCTGCTAGCGACATCCTTCTCCCACATCACTTGGAGTTACAAAAACCATCTTCTGTAACAAGGCTCAGCTGTTCAAGGTACTCAACATGTGCTATAAAAAAGCAGGATGTTTATTGTTTTCACTGTGAACTACAGCATTTCTATGTAGAAATGTAAATGAATTGCAACTAATTGTATTATTACAGCCCATTTTAAACTGATACGCAACAAACAGTTCAGCAAGTATTGGCACATTTGATCTGTAGCACAACCTGCTACAGCACAAGGCGTGAATGGAGCTGTTATTCCAAATTTATACAGGCAAGTACACTTTAAACCAGAAAGCTGATCTCAGCTCCAGTAACAGCAATGCTCTCTCCTTCATAAAACAATATACACAAGCAGCATATACATAATCCACGTTTTACAAAGCACTTTGGGGGGTTCGGCGACTGGTCTGGAGTTATCTACGGCCAAAATGGAGTGCTCCTTTTCGACACAGGGCTTTCCTTGCAACGGAAGCACAAGTCCTTCAAAGGCACCACTGCTCCCCTGCGCCATCTTCTCGACTTTTGGAAACCATAGCCCACACGATGCTATAAAGCAGTTATCAATAACAAAGTTGACCTTTTAAATGCATTTTAATACTAGTTTTCCCAGTGAAGCTTACTTAAACTACCAGTGGGTGACCCTTTAAGCAACAGCATTTTATATGTCAAACGCCTTCATCTGAAGTATCTGAACAAGCCTATGGCTGCAAGGCAGTTCTCTCCTCCTCAGGTTTTCCACTGAAACCCAACACTAGAAGCAGCACTAACTGTATTTTCCCTTTCTCAGTTACAGAAGGGGAACAGCTAGCTGCCCCTTGTAGTCAGGTAAAATTATCTGAGCATCTTCAAAAAGATAGTTTCAGGTCTACCCTTGAGCAAGGAGAAAATGGATTTATGATTTTTCTTATTAGTGCACGTATTTAAAATGGCTGCACAAAGGTGACCCAATTCTAGAGAAAAATTACATGATTTTGCTCCGCACATAGAATGACAAGAAACAGTCTTGAGAAATCTAGTTTATCATTGGATTACTTGACAATCAGACTACCTCAGTGCATACCCCAAGTTTGCATCTCACTCTTTTGCCAGCCTTAAAATTTGACAAAAGTGCTTCACTTTGCCAGCATTAGAAGGAACTTGAAATGTTTTCCAGCAAACAAAGAAGAGCCTACCGAGGTAAAACGCGCCTTTAAAGAAACTATGATACTCAGTACACAGGTGTGATAGTTTTTCCTAGCAAGTTGAACCACACACAAAAGTTAACTTCAAAAGCTGATTTAACATCAATGGTCTCGATTCAAGAACAAGCCATAGTTAAAGCTCTTCTCTAAGGAAGCTCTTAGGAGCATTGCCTGAGTTGGTAAATAATTTCAAAGCTTCCCACTCACAATAGGGCAACAAGATGTACTTCTATCATGAAATACATTTAATTCAACACCAAAGTACTTGTACAAATGGTTTATTTAGATATGTATAATGCAGTTAGATACCAACCACTCTAAGAATGTATCTACTGTCATGATGACAGGGAAATAAGAGCAGTTTTAGATTTTACTCCACATTTTGAAAGGTAGGAATTCAAAGTAAGGCTTAGCTTGCTTGTTTAGCATAACCATTCAAAATCTTGGAAGCTGGAGGGTTTCCCCAGGGGGTCAGAAGCTCAACGCTATATAAAATAGTGGCAGGAACATCACACTGCAGTAGTGTGCAGCAGCCAGGATATTTAGGCTGCTCCAATGGCGCCTGCTTTGGTTTTGACTCTGAAGGACACAAGTGGAAGGAGGAGTACAACATACGTGAACACCAAGCTAAGTTCAGTATCATCAGCTCACATGCTGAAAGGCAGCATATCCAAACAGTTTTGCACAAAAGACACTTAAACTCCAGCTCTATTAAGTAAACAAAGTAGTGCTGGATATGGTGAACCCTTTACACACTATTAGGCATTTTCTGCATTTTTCTCAATGTGATTATCAACTGTGCGTTCTTGAACAGGCAAAATGCAGAAAGCAGCATGCTCATCTTTCTGCAAAAGACAAATTCATCGCCTTAAAACATTGGGGGGTTGTCCCCTCCGGCACGCCTAGGAGCCTAGATTTCTTCACATCAAGTAAGGTCCAAAAAAAAAAAAACCAACCCAAAAAACCCAAAACGCTATGGCTCCTTGCATTGCAGAAGTGCATAGTTCAACCAAAACTTAGCACTACAGTTAAACTAATTCAGAACCCACTCCACCACCACCCCCCCAAAAGAAAAATCCAACTACAGGAGGACCAAGGGTAAGGAAAAGCTAGCAAGTTTGTCAAACTCTCCAAGAAAAGGCAAGCCATTTTTATTTTACTGTAAAGCTGTAGTAAGTTTTTAGTGGTCAGGTATCTCTGAGACTCTTTATTAACATCAGCTTTTCTTTTGTTAAGGTAGCAGCTACTGTTTAATTCCACAGTACAACCAAAAGGACTGAGTTCTTTGGTGTGGTTCAAAGCCAACAGAAGCAGAGATTAGGCAAGTAAGCGTAAGTTAGGTACGTTGGGATGACCAGCCCAAAGCAGAAACAGTTCTGTTATGTGTAAGGTTCCTTTTATCTCCATGGAGAACACTAGCATTGTGACCAGATGGCCTATCAGACCGGAGTCTCACCTCAGCCATTCA